CAGGTGGGATGGATTTGATCAGTCTCAGGTGCAGTAACGAGGTTCTGTGTGTGTGTGTGTGTGTGTGTGTGTGTGTGTGTGTGTTTGTGGCGACAGGAGAAGGAGGTGACCATCACCATGCCCAACGGAGAAACGTCGGTGGCGACGGTCCGGATCTGGAACGAGACGGTGTCCAACCTGACGCTCATGGCTCTGGGCTCCAGCGCTCCGGAGATCCTGCTGTCCGTCATAGAGGTGAACACACACACACACACACACACACACACACACACACACACAGCGTACAAGTCCTGTAGCTGCAGCTGTGGTGCTTTTATTCTGTGCTGTATATGTTTGTATCGTCCGGTGCAGCTTCAGACTCGGTGACTCACTGAGCTGCTTCCTATGAACTTATCCCGCCTGCAGTTGATGGTTTAAGTGAAGCCAAATGCGATATATTTTGTACATGGTATATTTATACACTGCATATTTTTTTGTTTTGTTTTTATATTCTGTATATTTTTATTTTATTTATTTTTTTGACATTTTTACACAATATATATTTTGTACATGGTATATTTATACACTGCATATTTTTTTGTTTTGTTTTTATATTCTGTATATTATTATTATTTTTTTGACATTTTTGCACAATGTATATTTTGAACACATTTTTTTTGTAATTTTAAATTACATATTTTCTTTTGTATTTTTTTTTATTTTAGCACGTGGTATATTTTTGCGTTACTTTATTTGTTTTACAGTTTTCACATTGTATATTTTTGCTTTTTTTCTTTTACATTTTATACTGTTTATTTTGTACACTGTATATTTTTACATAGCTTAGTTTATTTTGTTTTTTTACATATTAGCACACTGTATATTTTTACATTGCATATATTTTTTTTTTTTTTACATTTTTACATACTGTATATTTATACTTTTTTATATACTGTATGTGTTTTCCACAGAATATTTTTACATAGCATAGATTTTTTTAAATATATATTTTAGCACACTGTATTGTTTTTTAATGTATTTGTTTCATAAGTCTTTGTAGTATGTTTTAACACCACTTTGAATAGATTCTGTACTCAGATGTTGGTATGTTCAGTGTGAGATGTGTGGTCGCTGCTCTCACAACATCATTTTCTCCAAAGAATCAATAAAGTACCTATAATACCGGTTATCAGTACCTACGCTGGTAATTAGGTTCTGATTGACTCAGAGGGTTTTTTATTTGTTGTTTAAACTCTTACTAGATCCCACATGGTGAGATCGTAGTCACAACTCTAGACGTGAGCAGGACGTTTATTAACACATGAACACATTTAGATCAGAAGTCACTGCACGTCTGAAGATTCATTCACCAACGAGCCTTTAAGCTACAACAGTCTGCTTGATAAACATGAAGCTGGTTTATTAATTTAAAAGCAGAGCAGCAACTAACCGTAGTAATGACGGCCATTCATCACCCGTGTCTCCGTCCGTCCTCCTCTCTGAACCTCTGCAGGTGTGCGGTCATAACTTCGCGGCGGGTCAGCTCGGACCAGGAACCATCGTTGGCAGCGCCGCCTTCAACATGTTTGTGATCATCGGCATCTGTGTGTGGACGATCCCCAACGGAGAGACCCGCAAGATCAAGCACCTGCGGGTGTTCTTCATCACCGCCTTCTGGAGCATCTTCGCCTACATCTGGCTCTACCTCATCCTGTCCGTCATGTCGCCGGGCGTCGTGGAGGTGAGGAGGCGGCGCAGAGAGAGACGGAGGCAGCTGTGATGAAGCATGGTAGTTTGACCTCAGGTAGAACTGAACAGTGCAGTCAGACAGCTGAGGTGAGACGGGGAGCTGCATCGTTGTGCTAAATGTCTCTCATAGGGAGACGTGTTGGGAGGAAGGCTGCTCAAGAAATACTTCATTCTTTATGAATTATCACTCAGAACTCTCCGGTTTTCCTCCAGTGTTGCTTTTCTCCCAGCAGTAGTGGCATTATAGTCCACATGTAAACCCAAACATGACTGACTGGTGTGTGGGAGACTGTGTTTACTGTAAACAGTAAACAACAGAAGTGATTCAGGTCTCGTTCAGTCTCACATAGCAAATAATTCAACAGTGCACCACCTCTCAAAAACTGCTTTACTCCTCAGTTGAACAGCAGATTATTATATTAGACGTATGTACAGGTCCCTATGGTAGAAACAAAGGCAACTAAAGGGCCTGATTGTATGGACGTGGTTGTAAAATGAGCTGTGAACAGAAGGAAGAAACATCCAAAGCACCAACTCACATATAAATATATATAAATAAGAACAAAGTGAAACGAACAACCTGGACAAGTTTGTGTCCTGACTTGAATCCAGTAAAACAACAACACAGACTGGCAGAACATCTCTGCAGACGTTTGGTTTCAGGAGGATAAAGGCTGAAGGACTGAAGATAGAAAACAACAGATTAGAGTCTCACTCATGAAGGATTCACCTTCTTTTGTTGCACAGAGTTCCGTCTGTATTTTTATTATAGCAAACTAACAACTGTTCTTTTTTGTTTGACATCAGAGCAAATACCAGCTCTTCAACTTGGAAGTAATCTGATTACTGTGAGCTGGACAAGTCGACCATGTCTCCTCCTAACCCCACCTGCTGGTGCTGATCATGTTCATGCGTTGCTCCAGAACAACGTTCAGCCCCAGTGAGGATGAAGCTGTGTTCTTGTGTTCCAGGTGTGGGAGGCCCTGGTGACTCTGCTCTACTTCCCCGTCTGCGTCATCCTGGCCTGGATCGCCGACCGCCGCCTGCTCTTCTACAAGTACATGGGCAAGCGTTACCGCGCCGACAAGCGCCATGGTATCGTCGTGGAGACCGAGGGGGACCTGACGCCCAACAAGGGCGGCATGGAGATGATCATCGACGGCAAGCTGCCGCCGCGAGGGGGCGCCGTGGTTCCCGCCGAGAACTGCGGAGGCGGGGCTCAGGACGGCATGGCGGGCGCCGCCACCAACAACGTCGGCGCGGCGGCGGGAGCCATGGCAACGGGAATCGGGGGCAACCTGCCCAACTCCAACAGCACGATGGTGAACGTGGACAACAGCAAGGAGCTGGACGAGAGCCGCAAAGAGGTGAGAACGTATTTACCAACAAACACTGAAGTAGTGTCCGATTAGGAGCTTCTTCCTCGGTTCTGTGGCCGTCAGACATCAGACTGCATCAGAACCAGTCAGCCTCCATGTTGGCACTTTGGTTTGACACAAAACGTTGAGCTGATCCCGTCATCACATGTTGTCCAGAAGCTTTTGTTTGTGATGGAAATTCTGGTGAGCAGTTGGAAGCAGGTGAATGAAACCGACTCCTACGAGGAAAACTCAGGAAGGTTTTAAAAGCAGCTGTTTACTGATGAGAGTTCTGACTCAGCAGAACGTGGGTCCAAAGCCGCCGCTGGTCGTGAGTTTCACGCAGCGTTCTCGTCCCTTTCCATGATCTCTGTGTTGCTGTTTGCTCCTGGAAGCGACAGCAGTAACCTCACACGATGAAAACAGCTTTTCCACGTGTCAAACCTGATTCTATCACAGCTGCAGGACCAGAACCGCTCGTGAACAAACCTCAGAAAGGCCCAGACTCCCTCCTGAAGGACTCTGATGCCTCATGATGATCCATTTTCTGTCCGTCAGAGCTGATTTGTCGTTTCTTTCTGCTCAGGCAGCAGCAGTGACATTGACTCGAACACTTTTCTGATCTCTACCACTTCACAGCAGCTCGTCTGACATGTCGGTAATAAACCTCTGGAAGAACCACAAACTGCTAGAAAACAGCTTTAGTGGGTCCAGTGACTCCTGTGAGCTCCTTAGAGTTAAAGTAAAGACAGGTTTCTACTCCAGGGAACCGATGGTCAGGTTATATTTCTCTTTTTATCGGTAAAAGTTGTTTTTTTGTGGTGAAAAATATAAAAGAAAAGCTTCCACGTCCCCCCAATGTTCCACCAAAACTAGTTTCTACCGACACAGCAGCTGTTCTTAGCACCGGCAGAGACGATTTATTTAAAGAAACACAAACAGGTGTTTTGATGATGAGGTGCAGTCAGACCGCTCTACACTTCAGATGGATTCACTGATTCTTTAGTGGAGAAGTTTGTGACGTTACAGCAGCAAAGAGAATTGAGCAAACATTAAAGGAACATTAGCTCTAAAAAGGAGTGCTGCTTTCCTGTGTTTTGTGTACATAGATGGCTCAGGAACAAGAAGAATAGACGAATTACAAGTCTGCATTTGGAAATACAAGTAGAGTGACGACACTGGCTTTGGCTGGATGTGTTTCTTCTTCTCGTCGTCTCCAGTCTGTTGATTTTTCTGGGTTTGTTGTTGAGAGACAAGCTGTGAGACGTCACTGTAGCCAGGTGATGTTTAAACCTTGTTCAGACTTTGTACATTTGTACAGTTTAGGGCCCTGAATATTTTCAGAAATGGACACAGAACTCCCACTCTCACTACCACAGAAAGCAGGAGGAGGAGTAAGGCGCTCCTTCTGTCCGATAGCCTACAGGTGGCCTTTGGGCAGGTGGAGCACCTGTTTAGTCTCCTGACCAGGGTTACGTGAAGCCATGACTTGCGGGGGGATGGATGACTGTACAAGCAGATTCAGTTAAAGTGAATATGTGGTTGTAGAATCCCAAAGCTGGCCAGAGGAATCCATAGATCAATGGCCAGGGTTACAAGTCCAGTATGGACACTGCAGCTGAAGACCGCTTCAGTATTTACTCCTGGTACGATCATGACCTCCAGTCGATGTCGGTTTAAGCTCAATGATGTGAAAGAAGCCTTCAGGGAAGGAGCTTCACCCGGTAGGGAGCTTCATGTGCCACAAACCCGATCGTAATCCAGCAACTGTAGGCAGACTGGAAGCAAGGACGACGAAAACTGCAGCCTGGAACATACATACAGACTCTGATGCAACCTGGAAGCTTGACTAAAACTACACCAAGAAATACTGAAGCATCATTTCAGACGTCTGGGTTCATGGATGACATCAGATGGGCGGTCCATCCATCCATCCATCATCTCTACACCTTCATCCTCACTGGGGTCATGGGGGGCTGGAGTCTATCCCAGCTGACTCAGGGTGAAGGCAGGTTCACCTGGACAGGTAACCAGTCTATCACAGGGCTACACTTAGAGACAGACAACCAAGCACACTCACATTCACACCTACGGACAATTTACAATCACCAATTAACCTCAGCATGTTTCTGGACTGTGGGAGGAAGTCGGAGAACCCGGAGAGAACCCACGCTGCACGGGGAGAACATGGAGACTCCACACAGAAAGATCCTGGGTGTCCTCACCGGGACGCGAACCGACGACCTTCTAGCTGTGAGGCAACGATGCTAACCACTGCCCCACCGTGCAGCCCCAGATGGGAAGTGTGAAACAGATATCAGACGTAGAGCAGCAATGACAAGAACAGCGTTTATGGAAATGAAAAATATTCTGACAAACAAGAAAATAACAACTGGAGAACTCTCATCTGTTCTGATGTACGGATGTGAATCTTGGAACATAAATAATAATAATAATAATAATTTACAGACGCATGTTACGTACATCTCATACAGACAGAATGAGCAATGAAGATGTTTTGAAATTATTAAGCACTAATTATACGCTGATGAACAAAATCAGGAAACACAAGCAACATTTTTTGGACACATCAGAAGGAAAGAGACACTGGAATATATTGTCACGACTGGAAAAGTTAATGGGAAGAGATGACGAGGCAGAAAACTGACATCATGGCTACACACGGACAACAACTCAGAAAGCAAAAGATCGGATCAGATGGAGAGAAGTGATCGCTACGCTGAACGGCACTGGATTGAATGTTGGGCTGCACCAAAAAAGTTTAATTTTTTAACCTGATTACATTTTGGTTTAACTTTATGTTGCAAAACAACCTGTGAAACTAACATAGAAAGAAGATTTGTGAGCTGGTTTGAGAGGAAAATAAGTTTCTCAGAGAAACTTTGAGGACAGACTCCACAGAGTGAAATGAAACTTTATTGATCCCAGAGGAGAAATCCAGCAGATCTAAGAAGTGAAATCACCTTTAACAGCTTCAACTTCAAAGTGTTGAGCGCGTTAAAGCATCTCTCATTATAGTTTTATAATTATGTTTGAAATATGTCGTTCTGTATAACGAGCTCTTTTACTTTTAGCACGTCGTTGCTGAGCTGCACCGTAAAGTTGGACTTTTTAAACCTGATTAAATTGCGGTTGAAGTTTGTGTTAAAACTAGATTTAAAATGAAGAACGACTGCATTTTTGAGGTAAATGGAGCAAAAATAATCAAGTTTCTCAAAGAAAGTTTAAGGACAGACTCCACTGAAATAGAATAAAATGATGTTTGATTGACCCCAGAGGAGAAATGACCCAACAAGAAGTTTAATCACCTCTAACCTTAAAAGCAATAATCGTTTTAAGGACTTTGACTTTATTTTGATGCTCACACTCATATTAGTTTCACTGACATGCCTTGTACTTGTCAGAGAGTATTTCTACGCTGTGCCGCTGCTGCTTTTAGTTAAACACTACGTCTGGGTCCTTGTTCTGGAACCAGCAGGACGTTCTTTTTATGTTCGAGCTGCTAACGGAGCACAGATGGAGGCCAGGAGCTCATTTGATGCACTCGCCTCCTTTATTGTGTGTTTTTTTTCCAGATAGAAGCAGCACCTGTCGTGATTTAATAATTCTCCCACGCTTTTTGGTCGACCTGAAGAGACGGTAGCCGGTTAGCATCTCGTCGGTTTGTGTTCAGCGTCAAACTGCTCACAGTCAGAAAACGAGCCGAGTTTTTAATCCATGCACGAGCTGCAGAATCTAAACTCACCCGGAGACGCTGCTGTCGCTGCGTTTTGTCGTCCGTAATCTCATTTCCAGTGTTTTCTGTGAGAAATGCAGTTAACCCAGAAAACAGAATTTGTGCTCTTGTGGTTCTGACGTGATTGGAGCAGAAACAACGAAGGATTTTCCTGCAGGAGACACGAGAAGAAGTTTTAGATAAAAGTGACGAATGGCTTCGGTTTAGATTTCCATTTGTTGACGTGAAGCAGGCTTTGTATCTGGTTTTATGTCACTGTTACCTCAGAAAACAGGCAACATGTAGCTGAAATATCTGCCCTTCAACCAGCTGATCGGTCGATTGAAGGAGTGAAGCTGTTCTTACCTGGATGGAGGATTTCATCTACGGACTGTATTATTAATATTTACAAGAAATGGAAGAAATGCGACACATTTAAGAGGACGGAGACATAAACGTGAGGTTTGACAGACAAAATATGAAAATAAAGAGAGTCAGAGAGGAAAAATGAGTCTCTGAGTTAAACCAGTAGAGCAGAAATAGACGACAGTGGATCATTAATCCACACTTTGGTTCCAGATTCTGTAACAATCAGGTTGAAATTGATGCAAGCTTGGTTTATGACAAACAGAAACTCTTCTTTTGGGCTAAATGTGAGCCAAAAAGATCAACTTTATTGATCCCTCACTATGGAAACGTACGTATTACAGCCACTAGATATGAATGAGGCATAAAAGAAGCAAGAAAAGAAATGCTTAAGTACAAATAAAGCTGTAATAACGACTGTGTACCTGCGTTATCGATGTACATACGGATATGTACACTCTGGTTGTACTGGTGCACTTTCTTCCAGTCTTTTAATATCTCATCTCGGAAGGTTTCAAACTGTTTTCCAACCTAAAAATAAGGTAAAGAGTCAGACGTTTGCAGCGATGTGGGCGCCTCCTTGTGTCTTAACAATTAAAAAGTTAGTAAACGTCTATAAGCACCATTATTCCTCCACAGTGTACCTGTAGCCTCCGTCAGTCTCTGGAGTTGTGAAGCAACCAAACCCACCTACACAGCGTCTCAGAGTCTCTTTGTGGCGTCTCAGCAGAGATGAAACCTGCTATTATCCTGCATTGTACCGTTCTGTAGCGTTCTCATAGAAGCCGGTAAAAACTGCGGCCTCGACCCCCGAAGGTTAAACTCTGCTCAGCTCGTAGTCGTGCCATAAACGGTTTTCAGCCGGTTGCTGAATGACTTCACTCCCGCGGAGTGCGTTCGGCTGCTCAGTCGTGGGCAGACAGCGAGAGGAAGCTGCAGGTTTGTTGAATTAAAGCGCCGCCGACACTTTGAGGAGTCCTTCAGCGTCTCCTCCGTCATCGACTCGCAGGAATCCACAGAACAGAAGATCCATTCACTCGCTCTAAACGAACACACAAAGACTCGCCAAAGCTGTGTTTCTGGGAGATTTATCATCGTTTTTGTTCATTTATTGTGTGAAATGGCTGCTTCAGTGCGTTAATAGTGTTATTATGGATTCCCAGCATCATGCTTGTGTTTAAACATAAAACTAGATGTGAAAACACTCGTCAGCGGAGTCATTTTAAAACGTACGCTGCTTCTTTTTTTGTGTGTTTGTCCTTGTACACCTCAAAAACGGAAGCTCGTATTCATTCTGAAGTAAATGAAAGCAAATGCATTCAAAGACATGACTGTGATTAATTGTATTCAGTTAAAACTTCATCTCTACATCTGCCAAGTGTCTCCTGAAGTGACTGAGAACGAGCCTTTATTGTTTCACTTGCTGCCGATGCTGTGTGACAGGAAGTTAAATCTGAAGCTCGGTGTGTGTTTTTGTCCAGGGGGAGACATAAAAGTAGAAAGTGAAAGTTCTCACCTCACTCCCAAATCTAAAGTCTGATTTATCAACCAGCAGGATGATTTATTATTTAGCACAGCGGCAATAACTGTCAGCAAAAAGGGAAAACATACAAATCATTGCACCTGCATTTGGAGTTACGCTCTGTTTCACCTGCAGTCTCTTTGAAATGAGTAATTCTGGTATTATATAGTATCTACAAGAGTTAAATCAAACCGCATCCTAATAAAAAAAGACACAATCAGTTTCTAAAATACACTTAAATCCACTCAAACATGCAGATATGGTAGCAGTAATATATGCTGAAGGCAGAAGAAGACCACTGAGACTGTGATGGTTTATCATATTAATCCATGGAACAAGTGGAGCATCTCAGTCAGTTTATGTTTTTCTGACCGTCTTTAAGTGCTTGAAAGTCTGACCAGATGTTTTCTGAATCCCGTGAAATGCTCTGAAATGCACTGAAGCTGTTTGTGTGACTGTTTTACGTCGGAGGAGTGTTTAATTTTGTTTTTTTTAACTTTTTTTTAACCTAAAGAGACGTTTTTTTTCAGTCACTCTGCAAAAGTTGCAAATGTTTGGAGCTCATTTAATCCAGGCAGTGATTCTGTTGTCGAGCTGGAAGCTAGAATCGCTCCATCTGGCCTCTTCTGGCAGAAAGCGACAAGAATCCAGACCCTCCCCGAGTCGAGTGTTTGTGTCGACCGTGGATTGTTTGTGTGGATGTCTGAAGTGTGTCTGCGTCTCTGCTGCAGGTGATTCGGATCCTGAAGGAGCTGAAGCAGAAGTATCCGGACAAGGAGCTGGACCAGCTGGTGGAGCTGGCCAACTACTACGCACTGCTGCACCAGCAGAAGAGCAGAGCCTTCTACCGCATACAGGTAACACACACACACACACACACACACACACACACACAGCCCCTGAGGTGAACACACCGGGACACACAAACCCACAACAGGACACAAGGTAGTTCAAGGACTTTGTGTTTCTGCAGCTCATGATGAAACAGGCTGCAAAGGTTCAGACAGCACGAGTCCGTTCACAATCTAAAGAGAGATCTGACGCGGTGTTAACGTCTCCCTCCAGGCGACCCGGATGATGATCGGAGCGGGGAACGTCCTGAAGAAGCACGCCGCCGACCACGCCCGCCGGACGGCCGTCACCGACGAGGAGGCGCCGGAGGACGAGGACGACCTGGCCATCTGCAGCCGCATCTCCTTCGAGAGCGCCCACAGCCAGTGCATGGAGAACTGTGGAGTCCTGACGCTGGCCGTGGTCTGCCAAGGTACCGATCCGTCACATGATGAGATGAAAGAGGCCAGACGGAGGCGCTAGTAAAGCATAAAATCTTTATTCTCTTCATATTAAGGCTCCTATTGAACATTTCTCATGTCTTTGATCAGCTCCAGTCACTTTTTTCTGCTCTGAACTCGACCCAACAAGCAGAAGTGCAGCTCAGAGACGAGCTGTAGGAGCTCAGTTAAAGTACTGATCAAAGAAGTACTCAGATACATGATAATACTCATCATTTAGTGTTTTTAAATTACAGTAAGGTTAATGAAACCCAAAATGTAAATGTCATTTCCACCCAAACAGTACTGGAGCGAGCGGTTATGGTTTAAAAAGGTTTATTCTGCTCAAAATACTATTTTCTGTCCCAGTGCTTGTAATTTTAAAGATTCATACCATCCAAGTACTACTTTATATAAAACAATTTATAGTTTTAGAGTTTTATTTCACCCTAAATACTACTTTATAACAAAGGAGATGACTTTAAAGTTTTCTTTTTTCAGTTAAACTACAAGTAAACGTGAACATCTTCCTAACAGTTACAACTTTTAACAATAATTGGTGAATTTTGATCTGATATTTTGTTCAGTTTGGTTCCTGTCACATCCACTAGCATTTATACTTTATGACCTCTACTGCAGCCACAACCGGGGAGCTGTCACGTCGGACATTTTAACATAAACTCTGTAACTCTTGATCTCTATTTGAGATTTTCAGACCTAAGTACATTCTGTATTTACATTTCCAGCTGTACCTGTCTTGTGTTGACGAGCAGCAGTTAAATCATTAACAACAGAATACAAACATCACGGCTTCAGTGTGTCCATCCATCAGTGGTGTTGTTCTGTTCTGCTGCTGCTGTCCAGGCGGTCTGGGAGAGAACACGTTCTACGTGGACTACAGAACGGAAGACGGTTCCGCCAACGCCGGGTCCGACTACGAGTACAGCGAAGGAACGCTGGTGTTCAAACCCGGAGAGACTCGCAGAGAGATCAAGGTGGGTTCAGGAAGCAGCAGGTCGTTTCCTCTGGTTGTGTTTGAAATCAGCTTTTATACGTTTGAGGCCAAAGTGTCGTAAAACATGCAGCAGAAATCTAAATGTGCAGCAGGAGGACTTGGTTGCTGCAGTGATTAAAAAAAAAAACTGTCCAATTAGTCGACTTCGTCCCACAATGAATCAGAATCCTTTAACGTCATCATACCAAAAAAAAGTACAAGGAAATTGGATGTAGTCCCATTCAGTGCAAAGAACTATAAATTACCAAACTGTGCAAGATTAAAGCAAGATGTTTGTAGAGCCTGTAGACGTATATAAAAAATAAATAAGTGACAATAGGTACAAAATGGATTCAAACATGTGAGTATTTACAGCAGCAGTGAGGAACGAGGTAACCTGATTACACCTGAGGACATGTGACACTGCAAACGGAGAGAGTACTTGTCAGTGGACTCACAGGAACGGTGGTGGGAATGGAACATATTGGTGAGTTCAGAGTGGTTATGGATCTGGGGAACAAACAGTTTTTTAGTCTGTTGGTTCTTGACCTGATGCACCTGCAGCCCGAGAGCAACAGGTCAGACGTATGGGACCCAGGATGTGAGCTGCCTTGATGATGTTCTTGCCCGACTGAGGCAGCGGGAGGCGTTGCACCGCTGGAACGTCACAATACCAACATCACACAACTACAGACGTGTGGCTTCAGTACGCTGCTTCATTACAGGCTAAGGGATCTTTTTTTGGTTATATTTTACTCTTTAGGCGAACATTATTACTGTGACTTACGCTACTGTATGAGTAGAATAACACACGAGACACAAGATCATTTTTAACGGATTTGTTTTGGCCTTTTTGCCTTTATTATTATAAAGGACAGTGAAGAGAGAGAAACAGGAAAGTGGAGGTGAAGGACTTGCAGCAAAGAGCCATGAGCAGGATTTGAACCCATGGCCGCTGCATCAGGGCGCATTTAAATAGAAATACTGTCAGTCGGTTTGATGAAAAGACACCGAGTTTGATCAAAAGTAACAGAAATAGACAGAAAACGAGTTCAAACTTAAAGTGCAGCAGCAGTACGCAGCCTTTCTAGAGCAGAAGTGTTGCTACACGTCAGCCACGCTGTTGTTTACTGAGTTAATTAGAGTAATAAATAATTTAACAATACTCTTTAAAAGGAACATTAATTGTTCCCAGAAAAAGGAACCAGAGGAGGTTTCTGTTGAATGCTTCAGGTCAGTTTGACATTTTCAGTATTTCACCTCCAAACAAGGAGTCCGTAAACATAACCATGAAATGCTTCTTCTGCTCTTTAGTTGTGGATAAATGTTGTGTTTTAGAGCTTCAAGCTGCTACAGTCCAGACAGTGAAGTGTGAAGCGGTGTCCCACAGGGCTTTGCAATAAGATATGATGGAAACGTTTCCTTATAAGTAAATATAATAAAAGAAATAACAGTGAAGCAGAGATTGTAAAGGCTGAAATGAAGTGAGCATAGTTGTTTTAGGTTTAAACAGTTTGTCAACAAGCCAACAGCAGCTGTTTCCTGAAGTTTTCCGTCATTCTCTGGTTGTTTTTTTAAGATAATTGTGCAGGTTTGCTGATTTTTTCTGTTTTCTGTCGTTTAGTCTGAACATCTTTGTTATCAACAGAATAAAACATTTGAAACCGTCACTCTCAGCTTCAGGAAGCTGTTGGTCACATGTTTCTAAACGCTAAATGAGCTCGTGTTTAGTTTCTTCTGCTGTGTTCAGAGTTTAGCCGAACACAAACGAGACGGACCGACTCTGCTCCTCGTCCCAATAATCAGGTCTGAGACTCTGACAGGACGAGAATCCTGCCGGTAAAATATTCATCCCAGATTTTTGGAGACGGGATGAAACTTTAATGATGCCTGTGGGGAAACCGTTCGCCGGCCCGTCGCGCTCGTCGTGAAACAGACGAGCTCTGAGCTCGACGCGGCCTTTGTTGAAATAAAAGCACATTTACACACAATGAGCTACCTGCTGCAGGAGGAGCTCTGCACTTATTGAACTTCGCCGAGGCGCAGAAACACACTGCAGGCTGCTGAACGACCTGCTGCAAAGTCTGGAAAGCTTTCTGAGGAGATCAAAGCGAGGAGAGATGATGAGATTCATAATGAAGGTCCCAGCAGGAGAGACAGACAGAGGCTGAGAAGCAGATGCTGAGACTCAAGAAGACGACAGAGAAACTGTGTCGGGCTGAATGTGCTGCTGCTGGATGGACGTTACCTGATGAGTGACTGGATAGACCAGAAAAACTACAACATATAAACTCCTCAGCTGAAAATCTGAGCTGGAACTCAACATCTTCTGAGCTTAAAATGTGAAAAACTACTTGACAGGCTTTCACTTTTGCCTTTTAACTTCCTTTTGATGTGATTTAGTTACACAAGTGCAGCTAAAACTGTTGGTCACATGAAAACTACTGATGCGATCAATCACTGCTGGTTGTTTTCAACCACGTTTCTAGATTAGTTTGTTAATTAATTATTGCTTTAATTGACAATTTGAAGATACATCAGTTGTTTACAGGAGCTCTAATCAATAGATATTAGAATAAATGTGTATTATGATGGATGAAATGACTCCGTATCGTGTTAAATTAGTGAAATTTAAAGACTTCACAGCGTCTCTAATCTCATAGTTTTGGTTTTGTGGTCGTGAACTTTAGTGAGAAAGAGAATTGAACTTAAATGAGCTTCTTCAGTTGGTGATTCAATTAAGTTCATCCAAGTTAAGTTACATCTACTTAAATCATTTGAATCAATTAGTTCCACTTAATTAGAGTGAATGAAGTGTTTTCTTCACTCAAACATAAAATATGAAACAGGATTTTATCATTAGACTACCTGTTCATTCCTTTTCTTTACTCTGGAAGAGAAACAAGCTCTGAAGGAACGTGGACGTCGGATGTGCGACGCTAAACCGGATTTTCACTCTTTGACTGAAATTAGAATCATTTTAAAGGAAGTGTGAAGTCAAGTTGATAGAATCCAGGATCGTGAACTGCAATCACCAGAAAGATAAATGAACCAGACGTCCATGCAGCTGAAAAACACGTTTTGTGATGTTTTGGTTTGTTTCTCGACGACTCTTTCAACAGATGAGAAACCACTGAGCAGCAGATATAAACAAAGGTGATGATTGTGTGGCTCAACATTCAGATGTTTCCTCTGATTTGCTGTAGATGCGCTTCTGTCCCACCACTGAAACACATCTTTCGTCTACGAGACCTGGTTGTTTAAAGAACTTATTTCCAAAGTTCTGACGTCTTTAGAGGAAAGACTGATGGAGAATTCAACCTCGTGCTGATGACAGCTGGACCCAGTTTACATGTGTTTGGACTCTAACGTTAATTAAAAGTGAAGTAAAATGTACTTTTTGACAGTTTTATGGTCAGTTCTACATCACAGCTATTGTCCCAGTAAAAAAAAAAAAAAGAATTTAAATAGGATAGAACCTCATGTTGACTGAAACACAATCTGATATCAGACATGAATCAGTTTAACATCTTCAGTATCACACACACACACACAGACACACACACACACACACACACACACACACACACACACACAGTGGAAATATAATAATACTTTAAACAATACTTCAGAGAGACTTAAATGAAATGAATTAAATGTCCGTTTTGTCTCCTTTAAAGACTTCAAACAAGGAGCAAAGAATAAAGGATCCTCATTACCATGTAGAGAAAGAGCCGTGATAATGAGGTGTTTTTGTGTTTAAGCAGATGATTAAATGTCCGTTTTTCAAAGTTCAGAAACTGTCTTCAAACGACCGAACAGTCGTTTTGAGTCTGATCTGAAGAGAAGCGTTCAGACTCCTCCGTCTCTGATTACAAATGTTCACAAACTTTTTCTTTCCTCCTGCAATCTGAACTCGGGATCAAACGGCGTGGTGAAGATTTGGAATATTATTTTTTAAAGCGCGCCACGCCGTGTGAATTTAAAGCGTACGGGACGAGTGCACGAAGTAAAGCCGAGTAATCTCTGCTTAAACCCAGAGCCTGCAGAGATCAAAGGGGGCGTGAGGGCAGGAAGTGGAGCGACGGCCTGCAGAGCGGCAGAAAAGAGCATCGACCAATCAACAAACCGGTCCGTCAGCCGGACAGAGACGCTCAGAGTCTCACAAAGGTCCCCGTCGTCTGATTGCAGAACAGTCAGATGAGCAGCAGGGAGTCGAGTGAAACCGAAATATGCCACCGCTGCTCGAGTCCACTTTGATCACTGAGAGGCTGATTAACAGAATGAAAGAGTCGTGATTGTAACGACACTCATTCATTTAAGTTGTGAAAGAGGGTTTGTCTCGTCTCTCCTTCGAGTTATTAATCAGCTCGTCTAATTCACGAGTTTATTTCAGTCTAATTAATGTAAATGAAGACAGCCTGCAGACGGTGCATTAGTTTGAACAAAACACAGCTGCAGTTGTATAAAATGCAAGATGTTGCTTCAAACTGGCTGAAAATACCAACGTTGGCAGAACTTATGTCAGAGCCTCTGGGATTTAGAGTTTCACCTTTTATGTGGAGGATGAAGGAACGCCTTGGAGTTGATTCACTCACTCGTCACATCTGGTTTCAAAAAACCAAGATGGTGACGGTTGAATTACCCCGTGGGGATAATAAAGACTCCTTGAACCTCCTTGAATCTGAAAATTCCAAAATTGAAGTTTTATAACCAAATCCACCAACCAATGGGTGTCCATCTTTTAAATACAAACTATGCTACTGACGCTTACACCTGACTAGAGAAGTCTGATACATCAGAAGTCCACTTTAGTCGCCGTCACGAACTGATTAACCAAAAAATAAAAGTCTTTACATTTCATTCAGCAGACGCTTTTATTCAAAGCGACGTACATCTGAGAGTAGATCACATTCATACACCAGTGGTAACAGAGCTGCCATGCAAGGTGCTGCCCGCCATCGGGAGCAATTTCAGGTTCGGTGTCTTGCCCAAGGACAC